TCTCCTGATACTCTGGCATAGCCGATAATCCGGCACCCCCTGGGTCCTAAAGGTGTCGGATTATCGGAAGTCTACTGTACTCTGTTGAACAAACTACCTGGGGAAAAAGAGGAATATTTTAAACAAAAGGATTTGACAAGGTATAAAACTGTTTGTGCTTGTTTCATTTAAATGTAAGATGGTTAAATAGCATTTTTCTTTCTCCTGATACTCTGGCATAGCCGATAATCCGGCACCCCCTGGGTCCTAAAGGTGTCGGATTATCGGAAGTCTACTGTACTCTGTTGAACAAACTACCTGGGGAAAAAGAGGAATATTTTAAACAAAAGGATTTGACAAGGTATAAAACTGTTTGTGCTTGTTTCATTTAAATGTAAGATGGTTAAATAGCATTTTTCTTCTGCATAGTAAAAGTCAATGTACAGTTGAAAACAACCCTAACATTTGTTCAATTATCAACCCCCTCCACTACTGAGGGGTTTGTAATGGAGGTTCTACTGTACTTTCCAAATACAGAATTATTACTGAATACTTTTTGCCTTTTTCTATCTCATAATTGGGAACTCTACCGTCATTACCTGATTTCAGACCTATGAAGTTGTTCACACTTAATTTGTTAAAGAAGAATTCCTTCTGATTGTCCTTAACCCTTCTGGACATAATTATTCCAAGCATTTATACCTTTCAGCTTCCTTTATAAATGGCTGCAGTTCCTAACTACCAGTATGAACTCATTACTATCAACTTTTTTATTCAAAATGTGTTCAGCTACATGTAAAGGACTTTAATTTGAAAGAGAATCAAACAGATGCCTTACAATAAAGATATTTGCTTGTTTTAATCAAGCTCTCCAGCATTTATTTCCCTCAACATTAGGGGCAGGTAAGATAAAACGGGCACCAGCCACTTCTGCATTTATGTATTTATAATGTATATGGTATAGTTTTAATCTCTACCACACTTGAATATGACAGACACCAGATCATTATATCTTACCATTTAGACAGACAGTCCCTGGGCAACACATAGCATTACGCTTACATCTAGTTTGTAACCCACGACAGGTAGCACAGAAAGATGCTTTGTCCTCTGGCTTGAGGCAGAATTTGCTAGCATTACAGTCCTGGTCTGTCAAGCACTGTGATCTCTAGAAAGAGAAAATAATTTTCCTCAGATGATGAAAATGCTCTCAATCAGCAGTATTTAAAGTGGAATGTACTGTATATTGATTGATCAAAAAACCAAAACAACCCCACAGCCCCCCAAAAAACCTACTGCCTCCTTCATCAATCAGTCCAACATGTTGTTTTAGAAATAATCTTTCTTGGGTCTGATATATGATATCTTGTTTGACTGAGTTCTTGAGGACAAAGGCTGCCCCTTTCTAGCCTGTATTGGATCCAGCACAATTGTGATCTTCAGCAAGTAACAGAAATATCTTGTGAACTGTTTTTTTTTTTAACAGCACTTTGAGCACAGGTGTGGGTGTGTGTGAACACATGACAGTAGGATAACTGACCTATAGTCACTTCCCATATCATGATTCAAATCCTAGCATCCTTTGCTTGCCCAATCCTGTACTCAATGCATTACAGCAAAGTGCTCTGCTGAAGAGTTCATCAGTGCTGACAGGCTGCCATGTTTTGAGTGAGTGACTTCTTGATGTCATTCCCCTTTCCCCAAAGGGACTAATTTTTCCTCTTTTAAAATGTCCCCAATTTCATAGCTGTTGAATATTGCTAAGATATTATTACAGTTCTATTTGCCATCACATAACTAGGCCTGTTGGAATCAGGAACTTAAGTACTCTGTTTTTCTCAAACAATTCTAATGCTTTGAGCTAAGCACTACTCTAACCAGTTGTAACCATTCTATTTAAAAACTGAAATTATGAGATTTTTGCAAAATATTACTAATATTCTGAGATCATTTAACCTTTTGAAATACAATTCAGGCCTGCAATTCCCAAAGCTCTCACCTTCCTGGTGCCCTGCACTTCAGCTGAACTCCTGATGGCGTTGTAGTTTAGGACCAAGGCTGTAAGCGGGGAGCAGATGCAGCTAAGCCCCAGTAGCAAAACTGCCACCATTCTTCAGGAACGCTGATCTATTTCTCCCAAAGAATTCTTAGACAACAGTGCTGCAGGTGTGCTGAGTCTTCAAAATAAGACTTTGCAAATATGGGATATTTAAGAATCCTTTTTTAAAAGATTCTTGAATAAAAAGTCCTGTTCTTACATTTTACATCTTTAACCTAAGAGGAAAATCTGTGGAGAAAAGCCCAATCCTTCTGGAGTATTTATAGCCAGGTTTTCTCTCCGTTCCATCTCTTCCCCCTCCCCTGGTTTCCTTCCTCTTCAGCCCACCCAGACTTCATTAGATCTCTTTACATCTGTTTGATCAGTGGTTCAGAACAAGGATTCAATAGAATGAGCATGGAGGTGGGCAGCAGCAGCCTCTCCTTGGGGCCAAGCCACTCCTAATTACTGCATATTAAAGCTTAGTTCAAAGAAACAGCAGAGGAGCAGGATGTGTGTATCAAAGGCAGACACTGCTAATTAACGGAGTTTCCTACCTTCCATAATCCTTTTGTTCTATGATCTGTTTTCACAGTTAATTGTGCTCCAAGTGATTCATGTTGGCCAGGCTGCCAATTACTGAACATTTATCCTGGGTATGGATGGAATATAGAAAAAAGACTGGTTAGTTCTGACATCCCGCCACAACAATCACTTGGTTCAAGGCAGCTGCCAAAATAATCCCTGTGTGAGTCAAATACCTGCTAAGAAAGCTTTCTTTCTTCCTGCAGTGGAACTGTTTGACGCTAATGTTCATTCAGAAAATTAGAACATATCTGCTTTGATCCTGACTCAAGATGGGAGGTTTTATGCTAGTAGTAAAATCACAGATTTGTATTCACAAAATTTGATTGCTATCTTTACTGTCATCTGTATCACATTGCCTCAACTTGAAATAATTGGAACTGAGTGTCAAGCATTGCTGAGTACAAACCTTAGCTGTGCTACTGACTTTCTCTGTGGCTTTGGACAAGTTATGGAAATATTTTGCCTGTTTCCCCATTATTAAAATTGACCTAACACCTATTCAGAATAATGTGGTGATATAGTACACAATTAGTATTTATATAGGACTCGCTAAAAATTATTGTCCATGCCAGATGTATCTGATCTGGAATTCATCTCATTAGTCTTTCCCAAAGTTTCTGGAAATTATTTTTTATTTATTTATTTAAATATTTTTACCCCACCTTTCTATTTAAAATATTCAAGGCATCTTAGTCAAAATTAGTCTACTTTGACATTCTGGAGTGTTAATTCCTGTATCCCCAATCTTTTCTGAAGTGCCTCGCCATAGCTTCTGTCTCCCTATCATTGGTGTTTTATGCCTCCTTGCTTTGTAGTCAAAAACGGTTTTTAAATATTTTCTGTGCTAGGGTACTAGGCATTACTATATTTCAGTAAAGTGATCTAGCCAAAGTGATATATCCTGGGAACTGGCCCCTTCAAACTCCCAAATAATTTAGACCAGCATCCTTTTTGCAACACAAACCTACACTTCTCACAAAACAAATAAAGGATAGCTGGAATGGATGTGGCTTAAGGTCCTGAGTGAGGGTGCCCATCCCTTCAAAGATGCTTTCCTCTGGTTGACTGTTGTTCCTGTTCAGAGAAATACTGCTCCTCTGGAGCAGTACACATCCCTTTAGGAACATTAGTAGTGAGGAGAGGAGTAAAATCTTTCTTCAGCTGCTTTATTTCCCTTCCAACCCACAATCTGAACTTTAATTCTGCCCTAAACACCTTCCTTCCTTCTGCCACCACGTCTTCCATCTTAGCAATAGCTTGCAGCTGACATGGCAAGAAAAAAGTCTCCTCTTCATTACTTTGTTCTTTCTGACACAGTAAGAGCTATCACAATAAATGCAGAAGCAGAAGACATTCCATTTTCCCAGTGTCCCCAAGTCTGGCTGGCAAATACTGTCTACAGAGGATTTTTAGAAATTCTCATGCTATTGGCTTACTCCTAGTGTAGCTGACTCAGTGCTGGAGCACAAGTGGAAGAATTTCTGAATGTCCTTCATGTAAACCAAGGCTTCCATCTATGTGCTGTATTCCTTGTGGAATATTTTCCAAATTATTCCTTCCATTAAATATCCCAGATTCACATTCCACTACAGCACCATGTAATAGGCTCTAGATTTAGAACTGCTCTTATTCAAGGAGATTAAAGCAGCAGTCAGACATTCTAATTTATAGTGCACTCGGGAAGAGTAATTATGACTCCTGACTCAAACTGTTTAAGAAAAATAAACCCGGGGAAAAAGTTTAAACAATCAAAGTTAATAGAATATGTAATTTCCTGACAAACTCACCGGGAATCTTTATTAAGGTAAAAAAAAAAAAGATGAAAGGGGAATACTGACGAGCAGACAAAATTACAGGAGATACTTATTGTAATTTTCAAAAGTGTGTTAGTCAAACTATTTCAAATACTGACTTTGATTTTTACCATCTAGGCTTAGATGCGACATGAATGTGACTAACACAATTGGGAGGAGTTGTAAAAGGGCCAGAACAATATAACTGATGGACAAAGCCATGTATACTTTTGTCCTTCAGTTAAGATAAAGTCCAGGGGAGAGCAACAAAAATGGTAAGATTTAGAAAACCTGATCTACAAAGAAAGGTCAAAAAAGGTCCTCCTTAGTCTTAAGAAAAGACTACTTAGGGCAGCGGTTCTTAACCAGTGAGGTGCTCCTCCCCAGAGGGGGAGTGAAGGGGATACAGGGGAGGTGTGAGGTGCCTCCCAGGAAATTTATTGCAATTGCCTTCTCACTGGATAAAATTCTAAAGTTTAGATTTCTTCATAATTAATATTATGAATTAAAATTATAAACATTAATTTCTTAACTTCCAGAGATGGGCACACTACAATAGCAGTGTGAATCAATCAGGCCTATGTGACAACGCACTACAATAACAGTACGCAAGCATTGCTGACTTTCATCTTCAAATATTACGTACATTTGTTAAGAAAAGGTTCAAAGGCTGGGCCCTGACTGAGCTCCCTGGCAGAGTTCTTATAGTCCTAGCCACGCCCCTTAGCTTCCTATCAGGTGAGGGGGCGGGGCTAGGCTGTGCATAAAATGGCTCCCAGGAGGGTGTAACCATGAAGTTCACTTTCAGGGGAGGTGTGAAGGTAAAAAGGTTAAGAACCCCTGACTGAGGGGGACCTAATAAGACCTCAGCTATGCCCAACGCTGTTATACAGAAGATGAACTTTAAAAACAACAAATAGTCTGGTAGCACTTTATAGATTAACACAACATGTAGATGGTATCCTCTGCTGTCATGGGCACAGCCTACTTCTTCAGATGACCGGGGTTCCTAAGATGACAGAAGATGGTCATCAGCTGTTTTCCATGTCCACCAAAGGTAGGATTAAGAGGTAGTAGACTTAAATCTAAATATCCTTTGCTGTGTGTTGAGAGTAGGAAAATATGTATAAGGGGGTTCCTAAGATGACAGAAGATGGTCATCAGCTGTTTTCCATGTCCACCAAAGGTAGGATTAAGAGGTAGTAGACTTAAATCTAAATATCCTTTGCTGTGTGTTGAGAGTAGGAAAATATGTATAAGGGTAGTTAAGCTTTAGCCCTACTCCCTACACCTGTAGCTTGAAGAGAGAGTGGTGTAGAAGGGCCATGCTGCCCCGGCTCTGAGACATCACACAGCACTTGTTCATGTACAGTCCCTTTGTGTTGCGAGCTCTCTCATGTCCATTCCACATTAGATTGCACGCTTGCCACATGCACCACTGCTTGAAGTTTTTCATTTAGCAATGCCTGTAGGGGAGCGCTGCTAGCAACCCCTGGAATGGTGCCTCCATGGCATAGTATAAGGGATGCTACAGCCCATTTCTCCCCCTTCCCTCTCCATCCACCCTCAGTTCCTTCTTGCTGTCAGGGCTGGATCTTTCAGATTTCTCATGTAAGCTTGTTTGTGCTACTTAGCTAAATGGCCTGTTTCTTCCTTTATTTTGACCCATGCAAAAAGTTAGCCTCCTTAGCAGTTGTTGGTCCCAGATGGGACTTTTTGCCCCGCAGTAGGGGAAGCCCTGGAGCAGTCCACTCCTTTCATGTATGCTGAGAATATTGTGACTGTTACCAGGGGTGGTCCAATCTCCTCTCCATCCCCAGACAAGTCTATTTTAGCCCCCACCCACCTTATATTGCCTGAGGGTGCCAAAACCCATCGGGAACTGTTACAGTGGTTAGCAGCAGAGTTGGGGTCTTAGGCAGATGAGCTGCAGTAGCCAATAGCCACCCTGTTCTATGTCCTCTGCTCCTTCATGCTTGTGAGGATAGCATTACATCTTCATGAAGGGGTACCATAGATCACCACAGCCTTGTGGCAGACACCTTCTTTCCCTTGCTCCCATTTCTAAGAGGGCTAAGTAAAGTACTTTATCCCAGCTAGAGGTTAGAAATACCACTACACTTACCCTATCCCTAACTCCCTGGTTGTGGAAGCCATCAACCAAAAGAGAGAAGGTCAAGCCAGAGCAAGGCCCAAAAATAAGACTCCAAAGGAATGATTTAGGCACTAGAAAATTTACCCAGCCTTGCTCAGGTCCTTCAGGGTAGGGGAATGTGGGGGAAGTAGGAGTCAGGGCAAGTGCTTGGGTAGGTAGGGGATTCAGGGCAGGAGACTGGAGGAGTGGAAGTGCAGGAGTCAGAGTTGAGAGGTAAGGAGGGGTTCAGGGCAGGGAATGTGGGGGGATGCATGAGTCAGCAGTGGGTAGAGAGCTCAGGTTTGGGGGTAAAGAGGTAAGGAGGGCTGATGCCTGGGGGGTGGAGTGCTTGCTGCCACCCTACCCCTGGGGATAGGGTACTTGCTGCCACCCTGCTGTCATGCAGGAATGACTGTCCCTGCTCTCTCAGCCTGCCTTTTCCATTTGATGAGAAACAATTGCATTCCATGCACATCCCATTGTCTCTGGCTCACCCAAATTCTGACCTTGCTTTGTTAGGATAAGAGGAAGCTGCATACCAAATTTGGTGGTCCTAGCTCTTACCATTTAGGAGTTCTTGAATAGTTTGTGCATCTGTCTCTCATATAGTAGACCAGGGAGACCTGACTAGAAGCCTAGTGGCAGAAGGACTGGCAGCTGAGATCCCCGCTGAGCTGGGAGCCAGGACTGGGCCCAGAGCCCTAGCAGTGCAGCCAGGCAGGAGCGGCCCGAGGCTGGCTGTGGCAGCTGGTGCCCCAGGCAGGTGGCGCAATCCATGGCCGTGATGTCATCACAGGGCGCCCGGGCCAGCAGCACTCTAGGCAACTGCCTAGTTCGCCTAGGCTCACGGGCTGCCCCTGCAGCCAGGGCTACAGCAACCCGGTAGCAGGGCCGGAGCTGCAGCAGCTACTGAAGCTCTGGTAGCAAGGCTGAGGACTCAGCAGCTCCCTTAGCAGGGCTGGGGCCAGAGATGCAGCAGCCCAGGTTGCCAGAGCTGCAGCAGCATGACAGCCTGGCAAGAGAGGGTGCACTGTGGCAGCCCGATGGGAGACTGGGGCTGGCAGTGGGGAGGGGTGGTGGGTTTGGGGGCCAGTAGCAAGGGACGTCCTCTAGTCAGGAAATTCCAAGTCCTGAGGGTGTTGGAAGAGGTCCAAACTGTAGTAAATAAGGTTTATTATTCAGCCTGCTTGGCTAGTACAACTATACCATGGCAGACTATGGTCAAATTCAAGGGGGCACGCCCAGACTCTTCAAGGAAGGCTTTCTGGGGCATCTGGGATGGAAGGCACTGCTGTACCAAAGGCAGCAGCTTCAAATATGATTGACATGGCAGACCACCTGAAGGCTTCTGCTATTCTGGTGCAGACAGTTTAGAAGAATAGGTGAGCTAAAGCTCAGGAATAACAAGTTTACCCTATTCAAATGCAAAGAAGGATGAAAAAGCAGTGAAAATTTACCAGGAACAGAAGAAAAGAAACCAGCTTATCAGTCCAGTGTTGCTAACTCCTGACTGCATTGTGAGAGAAGGGCTGGGGGATGGTAGCCTTCTCTTCCACCCCAACTCTGCATCTGCTAGAATAGAAAAAAATAAATTGCAGCGTCCACTTAAAAAAAAAATCAAGTTTCCAACCCTAGAAGCTCAGCAGCAAGGCTTGAAAACAGACTGCAAGTGCACCATAAAGGTTCAGAACAAATTAAAGCAAAGGCCACAATTGTCATTATTTGGGGAGAGGAGGCAGATTTATGTTTTTTAAATCTTGGTAACAGTGGAGCCAGTGTGAGAAGGGAGGCACGATCTGTTGGCCATCCATGATGGAGACAAGGGAGAGGGCACTGTGCTGTGAGATAACATTCTGGGAAACATGCTGTGCAAATGGGAGGAAACTGCAGTGTTGGAGAAGTGACGGGGACACTGAGGTCTGAACAAAATGTGTGTGGGAGGAGCATTCATGAGATGGCGTGGAGGGCAGGGGACAGATGCACCAGTTTGCATTGGGGTGAAGGGAGGATGAAGCTTTTTCCAAATGGAGAATTGGGGGACAGCTGCAGCAGGCCTTGGGTCTGTAGCGCTCAGGGAAGTTTGCATAACACAGAAGTGGACAAACCCTAGCTGGTGGGCTACATTCGGTCCACCAGCCATTTTAATCTGGCTCTCGAGCTCCTGCTGGAAAGCGTGTGCTGGGGCTTGCCTTGCCCCTTATGAGCCTCAGCTCAGAAACAGCAGTATATCCCCTTTCCTGCTGGCTCCTACAGGTTGGGGCAGCCAGAAGACTCTATGGCTACGTCTACACTGGCAGCTTCTTGCACAAGAACTCTTTTGTGGAAGAGTTCTTGTGCAAAAACTCTTCCACAAGAGAGCACCTACACTGCCACGTGCTTTTGCGCAAGAGCATCCGTGGTAGTGTGGACATTCTTCCGCAAGAAAGCTCTGATGGCCATTTTAACCATAGGGGCTTCTTGCACAAGAAATTCATGTTGCCTGTCTACACTACCCTCTTCTGGAAGAACTCTTGCACAAGAGGGCTTATTCCTCGTGGGGAGAGGAATAACTTCCGGAAGAAGCCCTGTTTTACAACGCTATACTGTAAATTTACTTCTGGAAGAACGCTTGTGCAGTGTAGACAGCTGGCAAGTTTTTGTGGAAGAACGACTGTTCTTCTGCAAGAAGCTGCCAGTGTAGACATAGCCCCAGTGTAACGCACAACTTCCTTTGACTGGGCAGGGCAGTCAATGGGAGCTGCAGAAGCAGGGGGGAGGGGGGAGAGGTAGGTAGTGCACAGAACTCCCTGGCTCAGTTTTGACCTAGGAGCTAGTGGTAGTGGGACAATGCCACTGCTTCTACTAGGTGCTTAAGTGCAGCCCTGAGCAAGGTTGTGAATGTTTAACCAGCGTACCGATTAAGGTTAGTGTGTGGGCACAGGAGCAGCTTTAGAAGCAGCGTCTGTCTGAGACAGACCCTCACAGAAACTGTCTGCCGTTGGGGAGGTCATTCCAGCCCAGTGGTGGTGGGGCTCCCCTACCACCTTTAATCAGTTAACTAGTTAAATATATTTACCAGTAAACATTAAATGGGAGCTTACAGACCTTCCCTGCCCCCAAGCTCCCTTCTCTCCTCTTAACCCCACAGCTGTCTCATCCAGGGAGCTGGAACGCCAACTCAGCCTGGCTGTGGAAGCCTCCCAGCAAACTCCACAAACTGGGAATCAGCAGTGGAGAAATAAAACCCAGCTGAGGGATCCTACCTTCAGGTCCCTAGAGGCCAGTTCTCACAGGGAACCCTGCATGCATGCCTGGGGCTTACTAGCTCCCACACAGCCAGTCCTCCCCTTGCTCTGGCTGGCTCCAGACTCTCTCCACAATGGCCCCTCCTGAACTCCCTGGGAGGGGGTGTATACCTCTAAAGAGGAGGAAGCAAATCTGAGGAGGCAGTGAGGGCAGAGAGAGGGCAGCGGCTACAACGAGGCATACTGAGTTTGCTCAGTTCAGGTGCGAGGTCACAGTGCATCCAAAGTAGCAAATCCTGAGAAGTTAGGAGGAGGAAGCAAATCTGAGGAGGCAGTGAGGGCAGAGAGAGGGCAGCGGCTACAACGAGGCATACTGAGTTTGCTCAGTTCAGGTGCGCATGCTCAGTGCACCCAAAGTAGCAAATCCTGAGAAGTTAGTGTTTCGGTCGCTGCAGGGGCATCTCACTCCCTATGGGTTGCAGGGCAGACTGATCCTGGTAGGGAAGGGGAGTCAAGGCAAACTCAGAGTGCCTCTCCCTGAGCTGCCACAGACAAAGCCCCGGGAATCTAAATAAGCTCCTTCGGGGTTACACTGGTAATGTTGCTGCATGATCGGAACAAGGATGACTGCCCCTATATTTCTTCACTGGAGTTGAGGGAGGGAAAAAGTCAAAGCAATGCCAACAGTGTGGGAGAGGGGAGGAGGAGTGGAAAAGATTACACCCAAGATGCAATGTGGAAGAGTACAGGAGAATTAGAATACCTAGTATATGGACAAACACTTTCTTCATTGCATTTAGCAGGCCTAGTGTAAATACTTCTGTTTTTCCCTTTGGTTTGTTATAGCCATTATTGACCCTTGTGATCCATCTAGATTTCTAGACAACTGTACACTGTATCCACATCCCTAGGGAAACTTAAAGAGTGAATAACATTCCTTTCAGTTTATTTGAAGCTATTCTTAAGTAAATCCCCAGAGAGAGAGAGAGAGAGAGAGAAACTATTGAGTCATTCAACCAAGGCCAGAGACTTCAGCACTCTTTTCTGCCAGAGCCCCTGTATTGGAGCACCAGCTATTAGAGAGGCTTCCAGGGGGAAAAAAAAAATTGTTAGGAGAACAAAGTTACCAAGTTATGACAGGTTTGCAGCTCTGCTCCTGTCACTCAGGGAAAACTTACATTTACCTGAAAGAATGAAAGTTCCACAGCTACTAAAAAAGGAAGCAAGTTTTATTTGTAGGAAAAAACTCCCATCCTCAGGATTCTTATCATTCCTCTTCTGTGTTTCATATCCATTTTGGTGGAACAAACAACATTTCTTGAATTCCCATATAATGGTCATCACTCCCACCCACCTTCATATCCTGAAATCTTCAGGAGACACTCTAGGACAAAGTTCATAAATGCATTTGCTCTTGTTTATAGTTCAGATGTACAGATGACTATGACTGCAGAGGAAAGGAAACACATCTGCCTTTTTGCTGATTGTGTTTATGTGCAACAGTTACCAAAAGCAGCTGCCAAAACCCTGTGTATACAGACTGGATTAGACAGTGACTGGACTTTACAACTACGTTAAATGCCATTCTCTGAAACTAGTTCACTTTTGTTCAAAGTAAAGTACATCACATTCATGCATTTATTACTATAACTGAACAAGGAACTGGAAGGATTAGAATACAGTATACATAAATCTCTCAATGAATCCATGAGACCTGCCCTTAAGTCAATGAAAGTCAGGACATTGCTATAGCAGCTGGATCTGCTTCGGTAGGAGAAAATAAAGAATTGTGTTTCAGCTAGCAAGTCTTATTTCTACTCTAATTAGAGCTTGAAAGTTTACATTATGATTCTAGGATTCAGAAGGTATATAATCTGAATTTGTAAAGTGAAATGCATCAGATGTATCATTGGTGTTTCAGATGGGAAAGGGGTGATCCACTGTGGACAAGAACTTGCTCCAAAATTTCTCCTCAAGACAAGCAGCAATATTTTGGAACTGGTTTGTATCGGAACCTCAAAAGTGCCTTTTCACATCTTAATTCTGGGCATACACTGTGATAAGTGCATCCCAATGTAAGTCTCAATTTTAATGTTTATTTTCAAAATGAGATTAAGTACCAGAACTCAGGTCCCTCCCTCCCTTGAGACTTCCAGGTGATTTTTCTGGTAAACCACATCAGAATGCATGGGTGCTAGAGATATGAAAGTATAACTGTGTTGATTAATGTTCATGGTTATGTTCTGTATCAAAAGGCAGAAGCATGGGGTGGCAGCCAGTACATGCTAGAAGACTGTTTAAAATTTATCATATACCATGAACCGCATGTTAGATATGGAATTCAGTCAGCAACCACAGCTGAGGCCAGGGTGTCAGAAGATCTTATCTGAGGGTATGTCTACACTAGCCCCTTAGTTCGAACTAGGGAGGCTAATGTAGACATTCGAAGTTGCAAATGAAGCCTGGGATTTAAATATCCCGG